TCAATTTCTATGTTTTCACCTACATCTTCAATACTGGTGTCGGTATTGCCTAAAAACAACATACACAATGAATATTTAATAAGTTAAGTTATGTACTCCACAATACATTACTACCAAATATACCTACCTTTTTGCATGTGTGAAACTGATATTTCCCTGGCTTCAAAACCAAGCTGGAAACTAGATTTAACTGCCTCTGTAACTTTGGAGCCATCATGTACAGTTTCGTTAGGTTTCTTCTGGTTTTTGAACTCTTTAATTAGTTCAATGATTTGTTGGATTAGATCATCTAGTTCTGTAACAGATTCTTCAATGCCTGATCTGAAAGTTACAAATCAATCTAAAATTAAAAACATATTTTCAGCATAAAAATATGTTTTTAAGAAAAGAAAGACCACTTACTGTCCCTCGGTTAACTTAGTTTTTGATACATGTTTCTTGATCAGATTCTGGATTCTGTCTTTTAGGGTGCGAACAGATATTGATTTGCCAGTAATCTGAAGCATATTCACTTGAATAAGACACCATCTTCTTTGGTCTTCATATGGATTCTGACCAAAAATTTCTCTGGCCAAATGCAGATCAAATTCGTCGGTAAATCTGAATCTGGTTTTAGTAATTTCCTCCATGATATATAAAATAACAAATAAAACACTAAATTACTGTACACTAAAATTATTAATAACACTTTGGTATAACCAAGTATAACCTGTATAACTAAATTTTCGGAAAACGAAGAAGAATTATTTTGCTCCGGCAGTTATCGTTTCGTTTCGGAGCACTTCGTCTAGCGTTATACGGGCACGTAGAGGTCCGTAAAATAACGTAAACACGCAAAACGTTAACGTGAAAGCAATCGATGTGAGCATGCGTAATTGTCAATATAACGTTTACGTTAACGTATGAAAGTCTAACTTAAAGTGTCTAATGTCGACGGTAAGTTGAACTTTATAACGGGTTTTTAGTTATTGACATATTATATAATGCTCTCGCGCTAATAATTAGGAATGTAGGCAGCAATTATGCCCTAGTGACGGGGCTGTGATAAAGACAGTGACTAGTGAGTTCTTATCAACACAGAGTTTATTTTGCCCTAGTGGTGGGGCCGTGATATAGACAGTGAGTTCTTATCACTACACAGTTAATTTTGCAATATTCCGCCCTAGTGAGGGGAATTAAGTTTATTTTTGTAGACACTTTGTTTTTAAAAACTTTTATTTTCAAAATATAATACAAAATACTTATTTGCCGAAATATAAATACACGCTCTTAATACAATTAACTGAACTATTAATTAATGAATAATCGTTGTAAACAAGTGCAGGCCTATTTATACCCTCTCATCGGATGGACTGTGGTCGGCGGATTCCAATGGAATTATCTTGTTTATATTTATATAATTCCTCCCTCCTTAAGCTCTGAAAACAAGGGACTTGCTTTTTCTGAGCCATTTTTTTGTCTTCCGGGTTTTCCTTTTGGTACAATATTCTTTGAATTTATTATTGAACACCTTAAAGATTGCTAAAATAAGAATTATTAGTACAATTATAATAATTAAACTTGAGTTGGTCCAGTTGTGATATGTTGGGACTTCTTTTAGTTGAGGCATTTCTATATTTTTTGCTATTTTCTGTATTTTCTTAATTTCGCTGCTATCCAATGTTTTCAATTTTACTATAGGTAGATTTGTTATATTTTCTTTACATTCAAATCTTGGTAAGTCGAATATATATTCTTCGTGTATTGTCTCTTCTTTTTCATATATTTGATTGTTGATTGTTATTTGGCATTTTCCGATAGTGATGACTGATGGTTTGCTTATTTTATATATTCCATTTTTATCACAATTGGTTTCTATTGTTGCTGAATTAACAGGAATGACTACTAGTTGATTGGAATTAATAGTTGATATTGTGGTTTTCTTTAACCCGCCGCCAGTGTGGTAGACTGAAATGTAAAAACCTGTGTGGTGGGGTATCAGATACCCCAAATTTAAAAAAAAAATGAAATAAAAATAACACATTTTTATAAAATTTTTAGTGTGATTTATATTTCAACATAATATAACCAACTCAAATCAAAAGAAACTAGTGTTTAGAAACAAATTGCAAACTTAATACTTAAATATTTCAAAAAAGTCTCATTTTACAGCATAAAAAAACATTACACTCATTTTTTGTCGATTATAAAAAAAGATCAGAGAACTAGTAAAAATAAATGAATTTTTGAAAAAACCATAACATTCAGAATACATTTTAATTGTTTTTAGCTAAATAGCAAGAATCACAATGCACCACTGAATGCTCTAAACATATAGCTTTTTTACAAATCATACAATTATAATAGGTCTTTCTGTCATTTTTTCTCGGGCAAACATTACATCTTTTGGCTACTTTCATTCGTTTACCTGATTGCACTTCATCATTTGTTACGGTTCCTTCAGGATGGACTTGTAAATTTCGCGGAAGCCTTAAGTTGGTAGACCGAATTTGTTTGTATTCTGTTAGTAACTGTATTGCTAATAATTTCAAAAATTTCCTTCGTTTTGACTGAAAATCGCCAGTATTTTGTTGATAAATTTATCTAGCATTTATACCTGCACAGTTGAGTATCGTATAAAAAATTGTAATGGGCCACCTTTTGCTATTACGTGAAACATCGTATGAAGCGGACAATTCATCTACCACATCTACCCCACATTTTGTAGCGTTATAAAAAGAAATTATTTCTGGTTTCTTACTTTCGCCAGTATTATCGTCAATATCAGGAGTGTGATGTAAAGTTGACATTAGAAGAACTACTTTTCCTTTTTTTGGTACATGTGAAACTAACGTTATACTCTCTTTAAATCCGAATTTTGAGGAATATATTGGCCTGTTCCTAGATGTTATAAAACTTTCAGGTATTTGCCTTTTGTTTTTTCTTACAGTTCCAGTAGACGTCAGTTGATGATCTTTTAAAAGCTTCAGCATCAGCTCATAACTTGTGAACCAATTATCGAATGTTACATTTCGTTTGGTTCCAGATATCGGAGCTACAACTCGCAGAACTACGTCGCTAGGTTTCCTGCTCAATTGGAAGGGTCCCTCTGGCTGCAATCCCACGTATAGTTCTAAATTCAACACATAATATGATTTTGCATCAACTAGAGCGAATATCTTCAATCCGTATCGTGCAGGCTTTTTCGGCATATACTGGCGAAAACTACAGCGCCCTCTAAATGACTCCAGCTTTTCATCAATAGTAAGGTATTCGCTTGGCGTATAGACGTCTTGGCTATTTTGCACAAATTTTTCGAAAATCGCTCTAATTGCGATTTTCGATTTTTTTTTACTCTCTATTTTTTTATTAATAATAATAAAGTATAAAGTAAAAACGAAGTTGTAAAAGTAACACAATAGTAATAACAAATATTACACAAAAAAATAAAATTAATGAAAAATTTTAAATCACTTATATGATAAACTATGTACATGTTGTACAATATTGATTGATTACAATGTAAAAAAAGGATTTTTTGGACATTTTTGCCTTTGAGACTACTACGCTTTTTACATACTACTTCACCTGCTTTAGAAAAAATTCTTTCTGAAGGTACAGAGGTAGCCATAATTCCCAAATATTTTTTTGCTAAACTAGACAATCTTGGATAAAGTAGTTCTCTACTTTTCCAATATTCTAAAGGATTTTCTTTTCTAGCTAGAGATGTATCCTCACTATACATTCTCAATTCTATCAAAGCTTGAGAAACTGGAGTCTGTAATAAACTAGGTTGAGAATGGTCGAATTCTTGCCAAATAAGATCATCCTCATTGTCATTATGAAACGATATCATTTCTGGTATTTCTGAAGAGGATACAGTTTTTGTCTCCGAATGAATAAAGGTAACAACTTCTTCTTGAATTTTTTCTTTTACTCTTTTAATGTAATCGTTACAACTAAATGCTCGACTTTTAAAACGCGGATCTAAAAAGGCAGACTTTGCTATGATATTGTTAGTTTCAATATTTATAAATCTCGTAGACATTTGCTCCATTAAACTAGCTAACATATTATTACTTTCTGGTTATGTTAATGTATCCCTAAATTTATTTAACACTACCTTTAATCCACGAACAATATTTGGTATTTTCGATAATGTTACAGTCTTTTCCGCACTCATTTCACTAGTGATTTGTTCAAAAGGTTTTAATACTTTACATGATTCCTTTATTAATATCCATTCAGATTCTGATAATAACTCTACTGGATTATGCAATAATCCAACAGCTGTTATTAAAGATTCTTCCAACTTAATGAATCGTTCAAACATGATGAAAGTTGAATTCCATCTTGTAGGAACATCGTTTTTTAATTTTAAGGGTTCTGTATCAGGGTTAATTTGTTTTTGTATTGAAAAAAAATTGTTGTTACCTTGAGTACTTCTATGAAAATATTCTACTATATTTTTAACTTTCTGACGTATACTGTTAATTTCCTTCAATGAATGTTGTACAACTATATTTAATGTGTGTGCAAAACAAGGAATATGACCCCATCCAGATAATTTAATTGAGCTTACTATGTTCGATGCATTGTCTGTAGTAACCGCTTGGATTTAATTTGCTATATTCCATGTATTCACAACCCGTTGGATTTCTTCTGATAGATTTTTTGCAGTATGACTATCTGTAAAAGGAAAACATTCTAATAACACAGAATAAAAGTTCCACTCTTTGTTAATAAAATGAACAGTTACACGATATATAACTTTCATTCGCTATTGATGTCCATCCAACTGTTGTTAATGTTACAAACTCTGCCTTTTTTAATAATTTGTACACTACTTCTTTGGCATTTTCATATATTTTAGGTAGAAAAGATTGAGTAAATGTTTGTCTGGTAGGAAATTTATATGAAGGGTCAAGTTCTAAAATTAACTTTCGAAACCCTTTATCATTGACTATTGAAAATGGTTGTAGATCGGTAACCATCATATCCAAAATCAAATTATTAATTTTTTATTGCTTTGAAAGTGATATTGGCCTAGAAATAAAAGTAGTTAGAGATGCTTGAAGTCTCGGTCGTTTTAATAAATTAGGTTCTACTTGAACGGAACTAGATGTTGATGGTAAAGAAAGAAATGTCGAAGGTACTCCTTCATTAATTGGTGGTACTTCTTCAGATAAGGATATAGCTTGAGATGAAGTTTTATTTGTTTTTAAAATAATCGTAGGATGTTTGCTAGCCAAATGTTTTTTTAAATTTGAAGTTGTTCCTCCCTTATACGAATATAATGAACCGCAATGGTTACATTCTGCTCTATCTTTTGATTGAAGTGTAAAATAGTTCCAAATGTCGCTTCTTTTCTGACTTTCAGACATTCTAAAAAAATTTTAGTAAAAATATTTTTAAAAATGAGTTTTAGTGTACATTTACCTTATAGCTGCCTAACTGAAATTTGAGTTAATAGAAACTATAAATAAAATCACGCACAAACTATAATCACAGTTATCTCTTAAAAATGTATTGACCCAATATTGAATTTCTCGAATCAGAATCTGTCTGTGTCTAACTGACAACTGACTTATACTTAACTGACATCAGATCAGAGAACTACGGATAGCGATACCTACTGTAGGAACCGATACTGAAAATTCGGATTTGATATCCGAATCGATCGGTTATGCGTATTCTCAAGTACTCAAGTAACGAATCGAAACATTTGTAAGTAATCGTTACTTCGGATCCGAATAAGTAACGAGTACTCGAGTAACGAATAGTTACTTTTTTTACAGCACTAATTTAGATCGTCGTCGATCAGCGGATCTTGCGGTATTACATAGGCGGAGGTAATTCTGACTTCTCCTTGCCTCATTTCTAGTCTTATTGTTGCAGCTTGCATGGTTACTAGTTGTGGTGTTAGTAATCTAGTATGTTTTATGCCTTTTTTCACGAGTATTGCTGTGCCGCCTGCTCTCGCTGTGTTATCGTTCCTGTATACGTCGTATCCTGGGAATTTGATGTTAACGTTGTTCGTGAGTTTTGTTTCTTGAATGGCTCCGACGTCCATTTCATATCTATTGACCAGTTCATCCAGAATATTCTGGTTGGTTCTTATACCTCCTGGATTCCAGGAGCCTATCCTCAAGCATCCCCTATTAGTTTGCACTAGTTCAGTGCCAACTTAAAATCTGCAATCGCCTCATTTACTACCCTAGTAAGTAGTTCCTTTAGTTTAGTTCCCTAGGCCGTCTTGATGTTGCCTTGAGATGAGGATGGTTTTCTCATTATCTTGAGGTTTCGTTGCCTGGGCGTAGGATAGCCCAGTAGGAGCTGTTTGTGGCCTGCTTTGAGTGACTGGCCTTCGTCGCTGTGATTGTTGCTGCGTGCCCCAGGTTGGACATCTGGGACAACCTCTGAAATTGGCTGGGTGTTGGCCTTGGCAGTTGGCACATTTGGCCTTCTGCTCCTTTGGCATCTTGATAGTTTATTGTATGTTATCACTTGCTCTCTTTGAGCTATGTTTAGTATAGCCCCGGTGTAATTTACACTCTGTAATTTTATTACAGGTGGCTTTGGTACCCAAGTTTTCTTGGGTACTTCTTCGATGTCCATTTGAGTCGGAGTACGCCGATCAACTCGTGCATCATCAACCTGAGCCTCTTCTGTGGGTTTGTTGGAGGGGAGTGCTGGGAAATCTTCTCTCTTTTTTGTTTTTGGTGCCTCTTTGGGCTTTTCCTCATTGGGTTTTTTATTCTTGACTTCTTGGTTTTTGGAATTGTTCCCGTAGCTTTTCTCTTGTTTGTGGCCTGGTTTTCCAGGTTTTCTTCTGTCTTATTTTTGCTCCTGTTTTTCAGGTTTGTTTGATTTGTTTTGCCCTCTAGTCGTAATTTTTTGTCCATATGGTCCATTATTGTTTTTTGTGAGTTCAAGATGTGATCTTGTAGCTCATCGATATTCTTTTTGAGGGCTTCAATTTCCCTTTCCTTCTCTTGCAGAAGTTTCTTCATGGATTGCATGTCGGACTTTTCGTCCTCGCTGCTTTTCTTTCTGATACGTTTTGATGCCGCTTTCGGCGTGTCATCGTCCGTAGTTTCTTCTATGCGGCTTCCCTCCGCATGGACTTTTGTCCTTGCGGAGGGAGGGACAAAACCTTTTTTTCTTGTTTTTGGGACGTTTGAAGTCCCCTGTAGCATGATTCTCCCAGTCATCTACTGTGAGTTCCTTGAAAATCTCGTAATTTGTAGATTCTCCGTCGGTTGCGTCTAGGGTTAATGCGGTATAGATGTTACCGTGGAGTTTCCTCTCACGGCAACCAGTGACCTAGTCGCGGTTGTTCACGCTTTAGGCAGAACTAAAGCGGGGATCCTCTTGATTTTCTCACTTCTCTGACCCTGGGGCCGTGTCTGCCAGATATAAGTTCTAAACAACTATATCCCACAGTGTCATCCCAACGAAGGCACAGAGAATGTCCCGACGGGCAAGCCCGTATGCTTCTGTGCTTCCCTACGCCGCAATTTTGGCCTCCGTGAAGACTTGATTTAAAAAAAAACAAATCTCCCCGGCTAACCTAGTTGTGACGCAAGGTTTTGCCTCTGTTCTTCAGGCCTAGGCGCTGCTAACGGCAAGTCACCGCTACCGTGCTTACATTCACGGTATGAACTAAAAAGTTCAGCTCGGACTTGGTCGTTACAGCTCCTCGGCGGCGTCGCTCCTCTCACTTCGGCACGTCTGCACTGTTCGACTGCTGGAGTCGAACTACTTGAAGTCCCGATCGGAAGGTGCGCTGTTCTTTTATACATTTAGTAATTGAGAATTCGCAGCGCTCCTTCGCCGAGAGGCCAATGACAGCGAAGTTAATAACGAGCGCTGTGATTGGCCGGCCGGAGTAGCAATCTTTGTCGAGATTGGCTGCTCTGGCGACAGTAATGTCGCTGAGACGGTTCCATGGAAGGCTATGGATCGCCTTCAGTCGCTCTATCTGCCGAGGCAGACGATCGGAGAATTCGCTGTGATTCCATTTGGCTGTAACAATGAAAAACTGAAAAGACTGAAACTGAAAGAAAAACACAAAGTGATTTTATTTATTTTTTTAGAATTGTGGTCATCCGTGTCAGTTCGTCTGTATATATATACGCTGTACAAAGTTTGAATTTCGGAATTACGAGTAATTTGGAAACCGTCTTAGTACACGTATAAAACAGGTTAGCAACTCACTGGTCAAGCTTAAGAAGGCGTGCATTGTTGCTATGCCGTTATGTTTCTGTAAAGATAGAATTTATGAAATTTTTTATGCAATTTTGATTTTGGTTTGATAGGGATTTGAAGTTATCAAAGTAAGTTTTAACAAATTGTGATTCATCTTTGAAGGATGAACCGTTTTCTTGTGTGGTCTGCTTAAAGGCACTAGTAGACAAATCTAATTGGCAATCTTGAGATTTAGACGTCGTAGATCCCTGGGTTATTGGCGAGTTCTTTTGTGAACTCCTTTCTGGTCTGAAGTTTGGAGCTATAAGACACGCATTATGTTCATCTACATTGTATTTTTCTGGGGCAAGTTTTTTTTGCATTCTCTGTTTCTAGTCTATTGTTATGTTCTCTTTGTTCTGAGGTTAAAATCTGCGTTTCTTCTTTGTGACGAAGTAATGATGTCTCTTTTGCTTTGTTGGTTATAACTGGTACTTGGGAGTTCTGGAAAGTCTTGTGGGTTATAAGTAATTTCATTATGGTGATTTAGTCTATTAGTTCGACTTGTGACATAAGTTTTTTTGCAGGACTTTTCGGCATCATAGTAAGTTGGGTTATAATAGTAGGTGGCAGCATCTAAGGAGATGGCCTGGAAGACCTCCTGCAGGTATTGAATGGGCAGGTTTCTTCGTGCATTGCGGTTGGCGATCCATTGATTCGGTACGCCTTCCTAAACATTAACACAACACCAAGTTGCGTTATTGTTATTGACTCCATGTTCTTTGATAATTTGTGAGTCAAAAAATACGGCTGCGCCGTAGTTTGCAGGGTCCTCAGACGACAAAGACGTGGGACGGGTTTCGCCTTGCACGTTGGTCCTCTGCATCTGGGAGATTGGCCGTGATATTATTACTTGCGACTGGGCTCCAGGCTCAGCTAATGTGGTAAATATAACGTCGGAGACTTTGAAAGTCTTGGATGTACTAAGAACATTTGAAACTGCGTTAAGAAACTCAAAGTTCAAAGCGGTATTAGCAGGATAGCATGGAAAATCTACAGCTGTAATACTTGATGAGAAAGCTAAATTTTTAGCTTCTGGTCTGCGGATGCCAAGTGGCTTAAATCCTAGCAGATTCTGGTTTACTCTGTTTGCCTGGTCGATATTCAAGGAAAAGTCATATGGTCCAGGATTCTGATCCGAAATGAAAGTGCGGACAGCTTCGGCGAGAACGCCTAATCATGGGATCTCCTCATAGAGATTGTGTACAGTTAAATCGGCATCTGGGGCGGGCAATTGGATTAGACCATAATAGCCTGGTTGCTGATTCACCAGTTCGTTGGGCAATGTTGTCCAGTTTTTGTAATAGTGTTGCCAATCTGGCGAATTTGTAACAAAAGCGGTTCAAGAACGCTGAAAACCGTTGTTTGTGTGAGGGTGAGGATATCCTGTTCAGCTTCTGTGAGAGGCTGAGAATTCTTTTGCTTCAAATAAATGAAGCAGAGCCTCAACAGGGCAGTGGCGTAGTAGTCAAGGTATTCGGAGAGTAGGGCCTTGCCTATTTGAGCATCCTCTGTTAGAATCTCTGCGAAAGTACAGAGAATAGTGTTTGGTAGATGATATATAATTACAAAATCTTTAATAAGTTGTGTGGATATTTGTAGGTAGCGAACTTCGCTGCTGCAATATAAAATCGTTTAATTTGAATTTGCCTTTTATATTCTGGACATGCCTTATCTATTGATTTATGATTTTGTTCACAGTGGTAACATTTTACCGTGCAACTATCATTGGACTCACTGTGTTCTTTGCTTCCACAAATAAAACATTTTGGTTTGGATTTACAATTCTTTTTTGTGTGTCCATAGAGAAAACATGAGTAGCATTGTGACACTGGAGGTATATATATTGTTACCGGGTATGCTAATTTGTATATTTCCACATATCTGGGTAAACATGTGCCTTTGAATGTAAAACTAATAGTTCTTGTGGGAACTTCTTGTGTGATGATATTTAGGTTTATTGGTTTCCGTGTTAAAAGTTTTCTTTTTAACCGGGTTGCATTAATTATTTTTACTGAGGCTTTACAAAAATCTGTAAATTCTGAAGTATCTACATCTTCATCAATGCCCCTTACAATACCTTTGAAGGTAACAAAATTTGTGGGAATAAATAGGTTGTAACCTTTTTTTTTGAGTTTTTCATTTGCAGCTTGCTAATTAAAAAATTCTATGGATAGCCTATTGGTGCCTTTATTATCAATTTTTTTACATCTTTTAACTGCTAACTAAAGATTTCCCTTGATATTTTCAGGTTATTCAGTCTTCTTATCTTATTATTAGTTTTTGTAGTTGACTCAATAAAAGCCACATATGGTGCTAAATCGTTTTTGTCATAAAGAAACACTTGTTTTTGTACTTCATTCACTTTTGTTTTGGTAGTTTGGGTGTCTGCAACACCTATAATGTTTGCTATACTAAGGGGGATAACGGTCCCCCCTTAGGGTCATCCATGCAGACCAAACTTGTTATTTAAAATAAATTTTTATGTCCTAAGCTTTTTTTATAAATAAAATCTAAATAAGAATGAGAGAAAGAAAAAGAAAAAAACAAAATTTTAACAGCTATCGAGATATGGCTTACCCTTTGGAGTATGCGTCTCTTGAGCTCTTCACCGGTTTTCTTACAAAACATAAGTGATTATATTCATATTATTTTTACGGTGCGGTAAGTAATTAGGCGACAATTTTCCTTTTTGCAAAAAATCTCTCTTACAGGTTGAATAGCAAATAAAAATGTTGGTGTAAACTCTGGTTGCAAAAACTGGTTCCAGTTTCTTGCCATAATTTGGTCAACTTCGATAACTGTAAATGGAAACGGATTCTTTCTTGAATCTCGAATCAACTCGTATCAGTCATCCGGCAACTTCATTCTTGTTTTGAGGTTTATTAATCCCATATTTTTGTCACATTCTAAATACGAGTGAGCTCGTATAGGAAATATTATTTGGATGTAATCAAGTCGTTTGACCTGATGTACCATAAAATGCATAAACCTAAACATTGCGAAATTTTTGTTCCATCCTCCAGCAGAATTGCCAAAAATGTGCAAACTTCTAACATCATTATCAAGGTGATTTATTCTAAAATCAAAAAGAAAAGAGATCACTTCATTGGATCCTTTCCTAGCAACATGTTCAGGATAAGAATAAAAAATGACCTCCCAGAAGCTAATACGTGAATGTTAAATGAATACATTGACAACTGCCTGCAATAATATACGTCATTGGTTGATACATTGGGTAAGGAAACGTTTTTCTGGAAATCCAACGCAATGGCTGCAAAATCTTAATTGGTCCTAGCTATAATTTTAGCTTCCTTCTTTCACAGAATTAGTCTTTCCGCTGGAGTGACTAGTTTGCGTGCTTGGACTTGTTGGTTATTAATTTCTATAAAACCTCCATGATTATTCATAAAATGTTCAACAATGTTTTTGTTTGCTAGGTAGATATACACTCTGTTGTTAGAAAGCCGTGAGGAAAATAAAATATTTTTGGACTCGATCAACATTCCTAATCAGGTAATCTTGAAGTTTTAGGTTTTCCATGGCTGGGAATACAATAGCTTGATCTTTGGTAGGCAATCACAGCAGAAGTATAAGTTTTAGTATTATTTTCCTTTTAACAAAAAACATAACCTGGGACAACAAGTGTGCAGAAATAAGCTCAATGGTAGGAGGATCTAGGTCCAGACAAGCTTGGAAAACTATCAACAGTCTTAGAAAAAATACAAACGAAACAAAAAAAAATAAACCCTATAGACATAGAAAGATGGAAAAATTATTATGAAAATCTATTAAATGAACAACGTACACAGTTTCTAGACACACAGATAGATAGAGTTGAAACGGGGTTAAATGAAGTGGCGATGATTACCGTAGAAGAAATAAAAAACGCATTACAAAAAATGAAAAATAATAAAGCTCCTGGGCCGGGTGATTTACCTATCGAGTTATTCAAACATGCCACTGCAATAACATTAGAATTGCTTTGTAAAATGTTTAACAAGTGCCTACAAGGAGAAAGTATCCCAAGAGATTGGAAAGTCTCGTACATAAACTCCATCTACAAAAAGGGAAACAGGAATGACTGCAGTAATTACCGAGGTATCAGCATTACGTCATCCACTAACAAACTGTATGAAAGAGTTCTGAAAGCCAGAATAGAAAAAGAAGCCACAGAGATCGAAGAACAAAGTGGATTCCGACCAGGGAGATCCTGTGTCGACAATGTATTCACTCTCAAACACCTAACGGAAAAGAGATTAGCAAGAGGACTAGAACTTCATGCCACTTTTATAGATCTCCGTAAAGCGTTTGACTCCGTACCACTGCAGAGACTATGGACAACATTGGAAAACGCAGGTATAAATGCAGTATATATAAATGCCGTGAAAAAGCTATATCAAGATAACCAAGCTTATATTAAGGTTGGAAACCAAATTTCTAAGGGTTTCACCCAAACAAAGGGTGTCAAACAGGGCTCTTGTCTCTCTCCAACCCTGTTTAAAATTTATCTTGGTAATGCTTTAAAACACTGGATGAGAAAATGCAGCCCAATGGGCATATGGGTAAATGACACTCCTATATACACAATCCTCTTCGCAGACGACCAGGTAGTTCTTGCCGAGGACCTACAAGATATGACGTACATGATAAACTAATAGACGAATTCAAAAAATGGGGATTAGAGGTTAATACCGAAAAGACACAATACATGAATATAGGAGGCATCGGTCAAGACATGGAAACAGAAAGCGGATTAATTAAAAACGTTGATCAGTACGAATATCTCGGAGTTACACTAAGCGAAGACGGGAGAGACGACAAAGATATAACAAGAAAAATAGGAAAAGGAAAAAAACATGATAAAAACACTACATCCGATCCTGTGGAATAAAACTTTAACTAAGAAAACAAAGAAAAATATATATCAGGCTATGAGTCAGCCGGTGCTGACGTATGGGTCAGAAGTGTGGGTCTTTAACAAGAATATGTCACAAAAACTCCTCTCAACGGAAATGATGTACTGGAGAAGATGTTCCGGGTTAACTTTGTTTGACCACATAAGAAATGAAAACATAAGAGAGAGAATGAAAGTAAAGAACACAATAATGGATACGATAGCCGAAAAACAATTAAAATGGTATGGACATCTGAGACGGATGAACGAAGAAAGGATACCACGAAAGGTTTGGAACTGGAGACCTACACAGTGAAATAAAAGGGGAAGGCCAAGGAAGAAATGGATATCCAATATTCATATAGAAATGGAAAATAGAGGTCTTCAAGAAGGAGACTGGGCCGATAAGAAATTATGGCGATTGGGATGCGAGAAGCGACAAAATTAAAGTTGCAAACACTCGCTATATATATATATATATATATATATATATATATATATATATATATATATATATATATATATATATATATATATATATATATTCCTTTTGGGTGCTTCTGTAGTCAGAAGTCCTGTCAGTTGGATTTAACATCTTCTGTTTTTAATTTAAAATTAATTTGGATCTGAAATACGGAACTGTTTTAGGACAGGCAATTTTATCATGTCGTTATAGATAACGAATAAACTTGTTTAGAGTTTTTATATCAAGCCGACTTATGATAAATAAATACAGTGAATTCCTGTGAAATGACTCTGCTTTATATAATTTTAAAGAGTACTTACAGGATGGATGAGAACGCTCTCTTATGCACTTATATTGAAAAAATAAAAAATTTTAATCAATAACTACTATCTGAATAACTGTTTTTGTTTGGAGCTGACAAATTCGCACTAATTAGTATACCTGTCAGGACCGAACTCTGCAATGGAATTGTAATTTCATTAGTAAAAATAAAGCTAATCTTGTTAATTTTAAAATGGATTGAATCTTCAGCTGACTTTACGCTTTTTCAAAACCTAATTGAAACACAAATTTATAATAATACCAGTGATAATAATTCCTTTGAATTTTTTATGAAAGTAATAAATGACGCAGCTTCTAAGTCAATGAAATCTCGTTCAGGTAAAAGTAAAAAACCTTCAAATCCTATTTGGTGGGATAATGAATGCACCTTAATTGTTAATAATAGGAAAGATGCATATCTGGAATATAAAAATACCACGAATTATGAAAATTATCTGAAATTTAAGCATATTCAGGTCAAAGATAAACTACTTTTTAAACAAAAACAACAATTATGCTGGAAAAATTTTATTAATAAATTAAATAAAAATACACCAATATCAAAAATTTGGAGTTTGATAAAAAAAATATCTAACAAAAACTCAGCTTTTAAAAAACACTATATCTGAAGAACTAATAAACCAAATTTTTGATATTGTAGCACTTAGTTTTGTGCCAAATATGCTTGAAAGACCGAAAGAGAACATTGGCAGCCACTATATGGATGCACCTTTTGATACAACTGAATTTGAAGCTGCAATTAAGACCTAGATCTACTGCTCCAGGTAATGATTTTGTTACATATGACATTATTAAAAATCTTTCCCAAGTTGCTAAAGAATTTATAATAAATATATACAATGATTGGTGGGTAAATGCAAACTATCTTGAACAACTTAAACAAATTACCATTTGTGCGTCAAACAAAATCTCTTGCGTCAAACATGATCAACAAATTAAGTTATATTGCAAAAAAAGATCTAACAAATCGATATTGGAAACTTAAAAATTCTCCCCCACTTGCAGAAGCTTTTGTTGAGACTAATGGTGATCACATTTCTTTTAGTAAAAATAAAAAATTACTTATGTATACTATACCCTTTAGATCACTAATAAAACCACACAGAGTTATAATACCCAATTATACAGAATATCGCTACCTTCCGGAAAGACCGACACAACTCTGTACCGTAGAGGTAAAGGGTAGTATATCCATTTAGTGAAGTTTTGAGATAATGGGAAAATAAGATGAGTTCCAGATAATTATTGCAACTGTTCTTAATCTGAAGACATATGAAATTATGTATTTATATAATTGTAACGTTATATATTAGTTAATCAATATTGTCCTACTGTGATAAAAAATTTGTTTATATATTGCATAATATTGGGACTTAAGGTCTTTTGCCTCGGCATGTACCGGCAGATAAAACATTGTATAAAATAGTAAGTGCCTACATAAATTCAAACAAAAACACAAAAAATGATAAAAAAACATTTATTCATCATCGCTATCATCAACTTTTTTTTTAGTAACAACTAAATTTCTATAGAACTCCTGAAACTGACTAGGGATCCATTGTAAAAGGATTAGTAAGTGATCCTTTTTCTTTTGTGTGATCCCTTTGGGTTTTTGATATCGTAATGGTAACTGCTCTGGAAGATTGATCGCAGTTGCTGTTCTTCTAGCGACGTGTAATTCTTTGGGTCTAATTTCTTCAAAAGCCTCTTTATAAAAAATTATGGTCGGTGTGTCTTTTTTTACTTGGAATTGGACTACGTTTGAAATGAGGAAATTATTATTGTCGGCATTTTTCTTTTTAGTGATGAATGGGGATTGAGACTGAGAGTAAAGTACTTCAAAATTTTTGAAGTCATCTTTGTCCATTTTAATTACCTGAGCACCTACGGAACTGATTAATTGCTGCCAATCCCAAGGCGTTACGATCTGCATTGTTGGCTGTTTTTTTACAGATCTTTCAATTATAGCGTGCACTTGGTCAGCTTCTAAATGAGTGTGTCCTCTCAGTAAATATTTATGGTTAACTACTTTTAAATTAGGGCAGATGTTCAAAAGCCAAAAGTAGCTCATCATTACCATAACATTGCGGTTTTGACTAGGGCAATTATCTGACCAAATAACCAATTCTTCCACATCAGTTTGTGATAGAACTGTCAGAGCCCATTTAGTTAATGCCGAGGCAATTTCATGGCCACCCCTTCCAGCTTCGGATTCATCCCAGATAAGGCAATACGATTTATTTTCTGTGGCGTCGTATATCGTGAAATTTATAGTCCATAATTTCAGCTTGTAGAAACTTTGGTTATTTGTCAAACAGGGCGTAGGCAAGCATTTCTGCAAATCACACATTATAATTTTAGTTTTTCCAGCTGATTTTTTGCTTTCATTTTTATCGTTTGCTTTCATTTTGTATCGACTTTCTGCTTCTTGAAGATGTTGTTCATAATTTCGCCGTAATGTTATTGTTTCTTGCTCGGAACAGTTTTTTAATTGTAGCATAAACCGATCGCAACTATCACAAGTATCCACGGAAACCGATTTAAATGCTAAATTAAAATCATTATTGAAAATTTTTTTATACAGCCATAATTTAACAATTTCATTATTTGGAATGTGGTCTTCTTCACACTTTAAGGTATATAATTTGTACATTTTTTCACGGCTCAATTCCGGTCCTAGATATTTCTTGGCAGTTTTGGATCGAGAATAATGACTTTCGTAGCACGGAAACGACTTAATGTGCTCTCGTACTCGATCCAAAACCGCTTCTGGTGTTTTATTAATTGGTTCATGCCTTCCCCTATGGTCTTGTGTCACAAAGCCTCCCATATTGTCGTTTTTTAGAACGTTACGTACAACTGTTTCTGAAATATTTAGAGTGTTTAAAAAAAATTTTTTACATACGTCAATTTTTTTTACACCTCCATCTAACTTTATTTCAAAATTATAAGAAATGCTGACTTCTCTCGGCCTTTTAGAATGGTTTTTAGGTCTACGACGTATTACACTCTTCGGAGTGATATGCGAGCGCACAAATTGACGCTTTAACTCCCAATTTTTTGTGTTACACCAATAATTCTCAAAAATTTGCTGTCTTACAGCTTCTGCTATTTTTTCTGAACATTTTAGTCGACAAGGAGGGCAAGGGGGCTTCATTGCTTTAGCTTTTATAATTTTACCTGATTTATTGATGTGTTCCTTTCCTCCTAATGTTGCCTCTACTCTTTTTGTTACTTTCCAAGTTTCTGGTTTCTTATAACGTCTTTTCTTTTTGATTTGGTCATCAGTTTCCGTTTCATTTTCAGTCACGTTTTTATCAAGTTGAACATCTTCATCATCATCTGCTTCCAATTCACCATTATTGTCTCCCAAATAATTGCTACTGTAGCTATTGTTACTGCTGTCCATATTTTCTCCATCATCGTCCGTGTAATCGGGGTCTTTTATGCTATCATCATCGCTAACACATTCTTCAGTTAAATTAGACAAATAATTGCAATTTTGAGCACGGCTTGTTGAAGCTTGAGCAATATCAGAGGCGTTCGTCGATTCTGTAAATAAAAAAATTTATTTTTATTTAATCTTCTCTATCTGTCGAACTGTTAACAGTACACAGAATAATTTATTATTTTAAATGGGAATAAAGCCACAATTTATTTTCAAATGAATTTATTTAAAAATAAATTGTGGCTTTATTCCCATTTAAAATAATAAATTACATAAGATACCACAAGAAAATAGCTTCAGAACAACACACAGAATAAAGCAAAAAATGGATTAGAGGCATTGTTGTGTGATTCTCAAAAAAAGCAGCAAGTTCAGTATTTTGCAGGTTGATGTTTTCTTAGAAAGATAATACCACTTACTACAAAAAATACTACTTAAGGGGATGGGTACGAACTTTCGACTTCAATGATATTTAAATGGGATTAATTTTTTTTCGAATTCTGAGAAAACTAATAAGTATTTCTGAAAAATTTAAACTCAGAATGGAAGATTACGTTATTACCGAGAGACGAAAGTCCCTGAAAACTTCTATAATGTTTATTTTAATAAGTTACAGGGGTGAAAAACTAAGAGAAAATGTAGTGTGATTTTGAATTTGAAATATCTCATTCAAAACAAACTTTTTATTCATTCTAAGGGACTTCATTTTGCGTTTAAATTTTTTAAAAATACTTATTAGTTTTCTCACGATTCGAAAAAAATGATAACATTTAAAATACATAGAAAATTTTGACAGGCGTCAAAATTTTGCATTTTTGTCCTTTTCCCCTTAATGGTTATGTTAATTTTGTATTAGTATTAGATTTTATAAATAGTTGTTGAAGATTAAGAATTTCAATTACTATAAAGAAGGAGCAATAAATGTACTTATGCATCTGAAAATTGGGCAGTGAATAAAACAACATAATATCTACCGGTCAAAACTCTTACAACAGCAATATTTTCAAATGCCCAAACTACTAAAGACTCTAAAGAGCAAGAACAAGTAAACACCTACTATATAAAACGTGACAAACCAACATTTTTAGAACATGTTAACAATTTCCTAGTTATAAGATTATATAAAAATTAAAACTTAACCTCACTTACCGTCTACGGTCAAATTTTCAGCTTTTGCTTTTTCCACAATCGCACATATCCTCGATCCAACCATGTTTTTTAAATTTGCCAAAGTTTTAGAGTCTTTGGAATTCATTTCTGCTTTTATTTTTTGTAACTGTCAACTATCTATCAAGTAAAACGCTCTGTCAATCAAGGTGACTAACACTTGTGTGGAGATACTGCTGTTTACCGCGCGCGAAGTAGCATGCTCGATAAACAAATCCGACAGCGGATGGAGTTACTATGCTTTACCTCGTTCTCCAAAGGATATACTACTTTTTCTTATAAGAATATCTAGGCCACCAGTAATACTTCACATACCATCTTTTGCCACAAATAAGATTGGAACATTTTAAGCTTAGCCAAAGTATTAAGTCTAAATTAGAAAAAAATGGAGTTACTACCCTTTACCTCTACGGTACAGAACTGGATTATTGCCACTTTTCAGTAGAGCCGATTAAAGAATCCAGAATTTTATTTTTTTTTTGTTTTTTGTATATTTTTTAAACATGGTATAAAAGTTTAATTATTATTGGAAAAGAACATATATTATGTGTATTTCACTAATTGTATCATTTTTAGTTTAAGGATTGGCAGGATAATAGCTAAATGTGACGGTCTTTCCCAAAAAATATTATGTTCTTTTTAAGTTATACCTACTGAAGTAATCAAAATACTTAGTCTATATTTAGTAAAAAACGTTTAATATTTTAAATTAAGTACAAACATTCTGTTCTCACAAAGATAGCAACTCATAGTTCAGTACCACATAAGATCTATATTACTATTACTACTTAAGAAAACTAATAAATCAACCTAAACTTAATTGTAATTCTTACTACGTGAACCAAAAAATAAAGTAAATAAAAAAAAAACTTAAACGGTAAATATATTCGAAAAAAATGTGATCTAATTAAAGGTTTACATAGAAAGTGGTAGAAACTTGGGATTATATTTTTTTCCATTAGTGATATAATTCCCTGCTTCTTTTTATCAGATATTTCAAGTTTCGTATTGTATAATTTTTTAAAGTGTAAATTCTGCAAATTCGAATTTGATCTTCTACGAAGCATATTAATGTTCAAAATTATCTTCTGCGTAGGATATTTTACAAAAGAAATTGGCAGGTGTGTCTTTTCTGACCTCAAATACCTTAATATCAGAGATATTTACGTTTTCCCCATTTGAAGTCTTATAAATTTCTTTCATGCCCATGCTAGCTGTTAAATCTTTAATGTCCAGAAAATCATCATGTCTAAACTCGTGAACCTTGTAAGGTTGGCCTGTTTTTTTTTGCTTGTCGGATAAGTGTAATGTACTGTTCTGGTACATAAATAGCTGCAGCCTTTTTGTATCGTGTTATTTGTCGCTCTATTACCGAATGAACGTTATCAGCATCATTTTGAGTGTGGCCTCTTATAAAATATTTATGTGTGATAACGTTTATGTTGCTCAATGTGTGTACAGCAAATGAATATAGACCGAAAAGAAATCTGTTTTTGTTCTGCCCTGTGCAATTATCACTATAGAAAATAATATCTATCATTTTTGAGTCGTTGATACCTTTTTGATTTATTTCATTTAAAAAATGCCATATACAAGATTCAATCTCATTTGTACCTCTTATAGCTTCCCCCTCGTGCCAAACGTAACACGACACGTCTTTGTCAGGGAAACTGGCAAAAGTTAAATTATACGTATTCAGTTTCGAAATATAGTAGAAGGAGGATGCATTGCCAGTGGGACATGGTAAGGTAGCTTGCAAATCAAAAGTTACTATGTACTTTCCAGTTTTTTTATCGTTTTCCCTTTCTATTCTTGAAAGATCTTTTTCCTGCAAGTGGGTCTCATACCTGTGTCTTATCAACTCTTTAGCTTGTTCAGAAGCGTGTCGAAACTCTAGGCATAGATCACATTGATCTTTTTTTGGAAAATAAAAATCTATATTAAACTGCTTTGTAAATACATCGTAGTATGTACGGTATGTAGCACATTGTACTTTTTTATTTTCACATAATTCTTTATAATCCCTATACAATTCGGCTATTGTCCTCGTTCCCTCTATATATTCTTTTTGGGTTCGTGCACGGCAGTAGTGGCTGTCAACCCGGGGTATTGATTGAGTGTGAACCATTATTGCTTGCAAAATAGCATGGTCCCTAGTTTTGTGTTTTTTGTGTTTTCCTCTTGCTTCGTTTGCAATAATACCGTGAGTTTGTTTTTGCTTTTGTTTTTCAGATACTGTTCTTATAGTCCTTGAAGTGATTCCTAAGCTAGACATAAAAAAAGTTTTACAAACACGGTGTTTCCTTTCAAGTACATGAAAATAATACGCATTATTTAGACTGCGTTTAGCATTACTGTACTTTGATTTTGCTACGGGACTCAATGATGATGCAATAAAATCCCTTTGCCTTTGTAGATCTGCTAAGTTCCAATATTCGTTAAAAATTACTAGTCGTTGTTCTTCCATCATTTTTTCCTTACATTTTAGCCTACATTTTTCAGTACAAACACTTTTTTTGCATCTCTAGTTATTTGTGTTTTTATTTTAGTTCCATCTGCCAGTTTGGAAATTTTTACTGATGTGTAACTTTTTCCACTGTTTCTTAAGCGTCGAGTCACATTTTTTTTCCAGTTGGCCTCATTAAATGTTCTCTTTCTTCCTCTTTGTTTTGTTGAATCATCCTCTTTTGGTTTCTCGAGTAATACTGCTTGATCTGCTTTCCTATTAACCACCAGTTTTGCTGTGTCGTTTTCATCACCCGAATCGGAAGAATCTGACGCGACGTCTGCGCTTACATCATATTCTGGATCAATATCTGATTTTCCTGAGCCAAATGGTTCAGAACTACGAGAACGATTTCCGAAGTGGAAATTGAAACGTCAATAAAACGTATTTTTACCTTTAATTGTGGCTTATTTCCCAGTTAAATAGTAATTAATTTAAAATGCCACAAGAAAATAGCTTTAGAACAATATAATATTGAAGCTTCGAAATTGTTTTGTCCCCAAAAACAATCCGTATCTTTTTGCAACAGCTAATTCTAATACTCATCTAATTGTGTAGCATTTGCTATTCATTGATCTTTTTGGTGTATATTGAAATCCTCTCGTATATGTAATATATATTCTATTTTAGTTTCCTATTTGTACGTATTAAAACACCGAATTCTTTTAATTTAAAACCAAAATAAAATTTCGTTCTTTTCAGCGTCGCCAAGTAATAATAGCCCAGTCTGGTTAAAAAAAAGGTGGAAAAATGTTTCGCAGATATTTGAAGCTTTTAAGACATAGGTGGGGGTTACTAGATGACGAATAGATAAAAAGATACTCCTAGTTTTACGTTGCGTTTTTTTTAAACAACAATTTATGGTCAAAATTTGATTTTTTATCTATAAGTTTTTTCCCTTACAATTTAAATAAACAATATTTATACCATTTTTTTATGTCAAGAATATCTTTATTTTTCCGTTTTTTCAATTAAAATTGATTTATAATTTGCGGAGATATTTGCAAAAAAGCAGTTTTTTTGCACTAATTTATAAATTTAATTAATTTTTTTATTAACAAAATAAAATGTTATTAATACATTTTAACATGGAGGAATTACCGTCCTTTAAATTTGTGCGAAATTTCACCCCGATCGGTCAAATAGTTTAAAAGTTATTCAATTTGTTTATCCCTGGGACTAATTATTTAAACCATTGAGCTTGCCCTATGAATGACACTAGACACATTTAACAAATTTCATAAGATTGTTTAAGACTTAGACTATCTCAGAAGTTAAAGGCATATTGAGTTTTCATCGAAATTATTTACAAAATAAACGTTTGAAAAAGGGGTATGTTTTTTACTTATAAACAATTGTAATAACTTCTATATTTTTTAAGCTACAGACTTGTACGTACAACCATTGGATAGCTGGTAATAAAGCTCACATTAAAAAATAAAAAACCTTCTATGACCAATAGGAACGAAGTTAGCGACTATTTTTAAAAAAATCATATCTCCATTGTTTATAAACATTAAGAAGTAAAATTTGCACAAATTTTGAATGAAAATCTAAACTTTATATTGAAAGTTATAGCTATAAAATGTATCTCTTTTTTTATAAATATTAATAACTACATAGTTTTCACTGGCCGGAAAATATGGGAAAACTCGGAAAAATTGAGTCTATTTGAAATTCACGCTAAATACTTACTTTTTTTAATTTGCTCGAATAGTCTGTCGCAGTATTAATAATGATGACATAATTTTCACCCCCATAAATCTCGGAAAATCCCGGAAAATCAACATATGTTTTTTCATTTTATATCAATGATGCTTACTGCTTTGATAAAATAAGTCGATTTTTTCATCACTTGCCTTATTACATTTTGCAATGTTTATTGAACTTTACTTTTTTTTATTTTCTTTACATACATTGGTTTAAAAGTTAAAATTTGGTTCATTTATTCGACTTCACTGTCAGCTCTGAACCTTTTTGTTGCACGTTGTTTGTCTTCACTTATTAAGCAAGTCTATACATATACTTCTTCAGAATCACTGTCGTCATCAAACGTAACTGTACCGAGGTTGCAGCATATTTTCTCCTCTTCTTCTTCCTCAGTACAATTTATACACAAGTTCGTACAATTTAAACCACGTTTTCTGCACCCACATCTAGTAGTTTTGCAACCTGTGGTGCATTTGCATGTAATGTGCTTTAATGTCTCTTTGGGAATTAAATTATCCAAAGTATAAATTGGTTCAAAACCAGTGGCAGTTTGTCTCCAACCATAGGCACAAGCATCTAACTTATTACCTAACCACATTTGTAATTGATAGTAAACCCGAAGAACATGCTGTTTGGCTGCACCTTCAGTTGGTGGCAAAGTTTCTAGTTTAAAAGATGATTTACCGATATTTCTGTTAAATTGTAACTTCTTCTCGTTCTTCAGCTGTTTCTATAACGTTGGTTATAGTTTCCATATTTTTAATAATACGCTTTGTGCAATCATTAATTTTCACCGACTTTTCGCAAAAAAAACACAAGTTCGAAAAATTAAAACCACGATATTTCGCATACTCTTTACGAGTATTACTCAA